CATACTCTCCTGGTTTCCCTTCTACCACACCGGTTCATCCACTTCTCTCCAATAATTCTGTTGTTTTTTTTTTTTTTGGGGGGGGTAATAATTTTTATTTTACATCTTTTTTACAAATACATCGAAGCATGCAATGCTGCCAGCACTGGATGCAATCCTGGGCCACAGGTCTGTACACTCCTTTGCAACTGATCCTGTAACAGCAGAACCTTTCATCTTGCCCTTACTGTTTACTATGTGCTCAGTTGCTCAGTCGTGTCAGACTATTTGTGACCGCATGAACTGTAGCCTGCAAAGCTCCTCTGTCCGTACACGGATAGGATACTGGAGTGGAATGCCATTTCCTCCGCCAGGGATTGTTTACTCTGACCCCTGCATTATCTTCAAAATAAAGAAACACACCATCTTTTCTCCAGTGTGAGTTTCATTGTCAAATTACCATCACTAGATGTACGTTCTTTCTCAGCTCTGATTTGCCTTTCTTGATTGTAGCCATCATCATGTCACCCACACCAGCAGCAGGAAGTCTGTTCAGTCATTCGTTGATTGCCTTCACAGAGATGATATACAGATTTTTGGCTCCTGTGTTGTCAGCACAGTTGATCATGGTTCCAATTGGAAGACCCAAGGAAATCCAGAATTTCGCACCTTGCTTCGACATCTTGAATGCCGGAAAGGGACAAAAAGTCAATAATTCTTGACACCAGAGTGCCCACTAGTAGCGTGGTCCTCTTGTCTTTTTCTATTTTCACTTCTTTGACAATTTCACCCAGACTCATGACTTCAAACACCATCTTTCTGCCAATAATACCCCAAATTTTAAATCTTCAGCCCAGGTCTTTTTCTGGGCTGATACCAAACTGAGGGAACTCCCTGGTGGTCCAGTGGTTAGGACTTGATGCTTCCACTGCAGGGGGCATAAGTTCTATCCCTGGTTGGGGAACTAAGATCCTACATGCCTCGAGGTTTAGCAAAAAACAAAACTAAAAAAAAAAACACTCGACTTACATGTCATTCTCCTTGCCATCTCCCTTTGCATGCCTAGTAGACATCTCCAACCCAACATGTTCAAAGCTGAATTTCTTATCTTGCCACCCAAATCTGTTCTGTTTGGCAATTTCCCCCATCTCAAGCAGTAAGTACTTTCTGCCACTTGCTTAGGTCCCAAACTGGAGCCATCCTTTGCCCTTTCTCCTTATTCTGGAACTCCTCTCTCACTGGCATCTCACAACTGCTTTCCTGGTCCCAGCTACCACCCTTCTCACCTACATCACCACAACTTCCTAATGGCCTCTATGTTTCCACCTCTGCCTCCTGACAATCTGTTCTCAACACAGCAGTCAGAGTGGTTCTTTTAAAACATAAGTTAGATGTTAGTTCTCAGTTCAAAACCCTCCAGTGTCCTCATCTCACTCAACCTAAAAACCAAAGACCTTAAGAGAGCCTGTGGAGCCTCTGTTATCTGAGCCCCCTTTCCTCACCTACTGGCCCACTCTGCTCCAGCCAAGATGGCTTTGTTATTCCTCTTCTGAGATGCCAGGCACATTTCCATCTTAAGGCATTTGCACTCACTGCTTCCTCTTCCTCTAGATATCCACATGGCTAACCCACCATGAAATATTACCTTCTCAGTAAGACCTACCTTGACATGCCCTGTTTAAAATTACAGCCCATCCTCACCCCAAGCTCTATCTGGCTCAGTTTTGTTTCATGACACTTATCACCTGCTAACAAATATAATTTACTTATTTACTATGTTTATTGTCTGGGGAGAAGGGAGTTAACCAAGAGTCCTCCCACACACACCAAACAAAGGCTGAAGATGGAAGGGAGTGGGGCTGGGGGAATATGAAGGGGGGGGATGAAGTGCAAACTGGGAAAAGATATTTGCACACCATAGATAACTGGTTAAGGATTACTATTCAGAATATACAAAGCACAGCTTCAAATAAAGTAGAAAGAAAGCAAACAATCTGTATGTTTCCTATTGCAGCTGCAACAAATTACCACAAACTTAGTGGCTTACAACAACACAGATTTATTCTTTCACTGTATTTGAGACCAGAAAACCAAACTGGATCTCACTGGGCTCAAATCAAGGTGTCAGCAAGGGCCATGTTCCTCCTGAAGACTCTAAATAAAAAAACCTTTTCTTTGCTTCTTCCCACTTCTAGAGGTTGCCCACACCCCTCTGCTCCTGACTCCCAATCATCCTCAAAGTCAGAAATCACACCTGAGACTTCTGCATGTATCATCATATATCCCTGACTCTTCTGCCTCCCTCTTCACTTCTAAGGACACTTGTGATTAATGAGACTAACTCAGTTAATCCAGGACAATGTCACTGTCTCAAAATCCTTAATCACATCTGCAAGATCCCTTTTCTCATATAAGGTAACATTCACAGGCTCTGGGTGGACATCTTGGGGGGTGGAGGGGTCACTATTCTACCTACCCCACAAACCAACAGAAAAATACACAAAGAGGCATTCCACAGAGGAAGAAACATATATGAAACCTTTATTCATCAGGAAATGCAAATTAAAATCATAGTGAAATACCATCACACACTCATCAGATTCACAAATATTTAAAAAGTCTACCAACCAAGCACTGTCAAGAATGAGGAGCAAAGGGAACTCTCATGTAGTGACAAAGGAATATAAATTGGTACAGCCCCTTTGGAAAACAATTTGACAACAGCTAGTAAAGCTGAGCCAGAGAAGGCAATGGCATCCCACTCCAGCACTCTTGCCTGGAAAATCCCATGGACGGAGGAGCCTGGTAGGCTGCAGTCCATGGGGTTGCAAAGAGTCGGACACATACTGAGCGACTTCACTCTCACATGTTGGAGAAGGAAATGGCAGCCCACTCCAGTGTTCTTGCCTGGAGAATCCCAGGGACGGAGGAGCCTGGTGGGCTGCCGTCTATGGGGTCGCACAGAGTCGGACACGACTGAAGCGACTTAGCAGCAGCAGCAGCAAAGATGAGCATGCATTTTACATGTTCACGTATCCTTTACAACTCAGTAATTCAACTTTAAGATGTATACTAGAAGCTACTGCATAGGTACAACAGGAAACCTACAGGAACACAGCACTGCTAAAAAATAGTCACTCCAAAAAAAAAAAAAAATCCAACAGGAGATGGATTAATAAATTGGATAGAACCAAACAATGGTTTTTCTAGTAGCCATATATGGATGTGAGAGTTGGACCATAAAGAAGGCTGAGCTCTGAGGAACTGATGCTTTCAAACTGTGATGTTGGAGAAGACTCTTGAGAGTCCCTTGGACTACAAGGAGATCCAACCAGTCCATCCTAAAGGAAACCAACCCTGAATATTAATTGGAAGGACTGATGCTGAAGTTGAAGCTCCAGTACTTTGGCCACCTGATTCAAAGAGCCGACTCATTGGGAAAGATGCTGATACTAGGAAAGATTGAAGGCAGGAGAAGGGAACAATAGAGGATGAGATGACTGGATGGCATCATCAACTCAATGGACATAAGTTTAAGCAAACTCAAGGAGACAGTGAAGGACAGGGAAGCCTGGCGTGCTGCAGTCCGTGGGGTCACAAAGAGTCGGACACAACTGAGCAAGTGAACAACAACAAAACAATGGAATATAATGCAGCAGTTTTTTAAAAAGCAACTGCAGCTCTATATAAAAAATTCCATATGTGATATCATCTAAGCAACACTTCTCAAATATCATGCATGCAAATTACCTGGGAATCTGGTTAAATGCAGATTCTGATTCTGTAAGTTCGGAATGGGGTCTGAAATTCTGCATTTTCAACAGCTCTCTGCTGATCCATGGGCTATGCTTCAAGTAAGAAAATTCTCAATATACTTAGGGATGCATAAAATAATAAAACTATTTTTCTTTTCAAACAAAAGGCAAAGATAAACACTAAATTCAGGACAACGGATATCTTTACCTCTGACTGGGACAGTGGTTGAATAGGTCCTGGTGATGCTTTCTTAAACTGGCTGTTGGGTCCACAAGTATTCTTTGTATCTCACATGTTACATATAGTATCGCCCGTATCAAATATTGTATCTTTAAAAACACAATGAAAAGCGTACAAAAATAAAATTATAGGCAAAGAAGCTAGGTGGCGTCAAAGTCTTGGGTAAATAAAGAAGTTAGCCCTGTAGCGCTACACTAAACTAAAACAGATATAATTTGCAGAAAAAGTGTTGTCTGTTCACGAAATACTCCAGAAATCCAACCTGCCAGGCTAATTCTTTTCAGCCCGGATTAAAGATTTGTACTATCCAAGTTTTTCAAATTTAGTGGATTTTATGAATCACCTGGCATTCTGATTAACAATCTGTTAATCAGATTTCCAAGTGACTCCAGTGTAGATCCTGATTCTGGGCGTGCAGGAAGTAGCCTGGGAATCAGTACTGAATTCAAGCCCCAATTGGTAGGGTGAAAAAGCTCCGCCCGCCTCGTAATGGATTTGCGTTTAGTAGGCTGTGGGGGATACTCGATCAGCCCCAGTCGGCTCCGAGAAGCCCCCACACGGTGGGAGGACAGCCCCCTACCCACCCCCCGCCCCCCGCCACAGTTAGCACAGTAAATCCATATTAGCGCGGCGGTCACCCCTCTTTCCCGGAGCTATCCTCTTTGGCTCTTCAGGAAGAAGCTCTCCAGAGAGGCCCTGAATGACAGAAACCTAAACAAGAGGAAATAATTACAGCACTAGGTAATTAATTCTCAGCAACGTAAAACCTCGCAGACTCGCCTCGGAGGCCGCCTCTCCCACCAACGGCCTCTCCGGGCGTTTCTTCCCTCCGCCTCCCTCAGAGAACGCGGAGAAGAAACGCGAGATACGAACACGGGGCGTGGCCTCATCCTGACCAATGGAAATGGGAGGCCTGGCCCTGAGTCTTCCTTTCATTGGCACAGGATGCCCAAGGCGAGGCGGAAGCCGCGCGGCAGCCTGAATGCGCGCGGAGCCCCCGGACCGGCAGCATTTGAGCCGCCATCATGGTGCGGAAGCTTAAGTTTCACGAGCAGAAGCTGCTGAAGCAGGTGGACTTCCTGAACTGGGAGGTCACAGACCACAACCTGCATGAGCTACGCGTGTTGCGGCGTTATCGGCTGCAGCGGCGCGAGGACTATACGCGCTACAACCAGCTGAGCCGTGCTGTGCGCGAGCTGGCCCGGCGCCTGCGCGATCTGCCGGAGCGTGACCCGTTTCGCGTGCGCTCCTCGGCCGCGCTGCTGGATAAGCTGTATGCGCTCGGCCTAGTGCCCACGCGGGGGTCGCTGGAGCTCTGCGATTTCGTCACGGCCTCGTCCTTTTGCCGCCGCCGCCTGCCCACGGTGCTGCTTAAGCTGCGCATGGCTCAGCACCTCCAGGCCGCCGTGGCATTCGTGGAGCAGGGCCACGTGCGCGTGGGCCCCGACGTGGTCACAGACCCCGCCTTCATTGTCACGCGAAGCATGGAGGACTTTGTTACCTGGGTTGACTCGTCCAAGATCAAGCGGCACGTGCTGGAGTACAATGAGGAGCGTGACGACTTCGATTTGGACGCCTAGCGGATGTCCCCTCGCCAGGACTGCATTTTGTAGATGGGGAAGCTGAGACACAAGCTTGAGATTCTGTGAAGGCGCGTCTCCGCAAGAGTGTATCAGCCACTCGTCGGTTCTTAAGAACTTGCCTCCTCAGCTACAGGCCACGCGCGGAGCCAAAGGGTACGCCCTTTTCCACGAAATTTTCTTAGCTCTTGGACAGTTGGTAATTCAGTGACTGCCGTAAGAAACAATGGGAAGCGGTTTTGTGCTGCACTGGGGAATTGTTATGTTCTTGTACCTGAAACATTGCGGTGTGAATGCAAGGACTTGGGATGGGGGAGGGCCTACCCTCGCCCCCAGCTTTCCTTTCATTTCTTTGTAACAGGAAGTGTGGTTTAATTTATTTAACTCGAATCCTTGCTCTTGTTCGTGATTAAACTATATAGATGTCGTAGAGGTTGGTCTCAAGTTTTCATAAAATGGATAAGATTTTAGTGTTCAGGGTTCTTTCTCTTGTTTAAAGGAATGCTCTCCTAATGCCAATAAATGACCTACCTGCTTTTTAAGTGCAAATTTTTGTCTGGGTTTGTCACATAGGGTCGCATCTATAGGTCTCCCTGAATTCAGGAACCCACAGAAGAATAGTGATGGCAGTGAGCTGCCTGTGGGTTGAGACCTGCCCTGGATTCCACGTGTGGGGATTGCAGGATGTTGTACAGGGCTGGGCAGATTTGTCAGTTTACTGATCCCTTCCTCAGAATGAGTGTTTTGGCAGAACTCTTCCCCACAGGACTTCCTGTTACTATTCCAGCCTCAGGAAATACCATATTAAAGGGCTGAAGTGTTTGCTTGCCTAAGGAAATAATCACCCTGTAGCTTGTCCATCTAGTGGTTAGAGTAGCCCAGGAGGATCTTGGAAAATTCTTAGGAATGGAGCCCTCAGGAGGCCCCAGGGCTGCCTGCCCAGAGCAGCAGCTCCACAGCTACTATCCATCACAGCCTGCCATCACTACCTGCCCAGCCTTTAATTTAGAGAAAGGTTAATTGCCCAATTAGAGTGGGTTTTATTGAGGGACAGAAAGGATGAATTGGGAGTCAGGGAGCCTAGCCTGATGACAATTGAAGAACATGAAGGGAGAGGATCTGTTCTAATGCTGCCGGCTCACTGGAAGGAAGCCTACCTCATTTACTCAATACCACTACAAGGAAAATAATAGAATGCCAAGACCATTGGGTTGCTTTTACCTGTACCATCTCCATTTCCCCAGGTGTAAGGCAACATTTGGTGAAGAAACAAGGTGACACTGCAGATGACAATAATAGCAGATGCTTCTACTGTATGTCAGACAATTAGTGCATTACGTATCTTAATCTATTTAATCCAACAATTCAATGATGTGGGGAGCCCAGTTCTCTACTTTTCAAATAAGGGAACTGAGGCAGAGATGGATCAAACTACCCCAGATTGCATAGCCAATTAAGTGGTAGAGCTGGAATGCTTCTAAAGAAGAGTCATGCGGGGACTTCCCTGGCAAGCCAGTGGTTAAGACTGTGCTTCCAATGCAGGGGGCGCTGGTTCGATCCCTGGTCGGGAACAAGGATGTCCCATGGCACAGGGCATGTCCAAACAAAAAAAAAAGTGCAAACATTGTCACAGCCAGCCCTTGGGAAACATCAGGGTTTAGAGAGAGTTCCTGAACCTGAGTTTCCAAGCCAGCAGAGAAGCAGCAGCTCTAGACAATATGGTTGGTCCCCAAGAGGGTGTAAAGTTTTGAATTGAACAAGGAGCAGGCATTAAGTTGCCACGGTTTGACTAACATTCATTGAGGTCCTGTCTGTGTTAGGCTGCCATTTCTTTTCCTAACAACTCTTACAGGTAGGTGGTGGTATTTACACATTTTCAGTTTGGCAAACAAATTTGGGAGAACTTGTCCAAAGCTGGGGTTCGGGTCTAGGCTCATGGAGCTCCAAAGACCGTATTCCTCTCAGTGCCATTCTTTTAAGAGAGGAAGAAGAAAGAATCCCACTCCTCTGCTCTGGTGGCTGAGCAGAATCTCTTTTTTTGAGGAGTGTCCTCAGGGATCTTAGAATTAAGGATCTTATAGGGGAGAATTTGGTGGTTCTAGAAAGTGGAAACTGCCTGCAGCCCTCCAACTCTCACTAGACCCCAGAGGGCAAGGCAGACTGGTCCCTTTGGTGCAGTTGAATCCTGCCCTTAGCACTCAAGCAGATACAGATACAACTTCAAAGTTCTCATGAAGGAAACTTGGTTTAGAAAGTTAGGAGTAAAATTCAAGATTCTTTAGAAAAGCTATTTCTTCTCTCTTTGAGGGGAAAGAGCAGAAAGAAATAACTTACCAGAACCTGTAACCAGAAACTTAGGGCTTAAAAAACAAACCAAAAAAAAACCCCTGCAAGACTAGTGATTCAGAAGGCCACCAGGTCTGTGCCCAACTAGCTGTGTAATGATTATTTCACTTGGCCTCTATGTGCCTCCATTTTCCTTGTCACAAATATGGTGATATAGAGGGGGAAATAATGGAAAATTATTATTTAATGGGTCCAGAATTTCTGATTGGGTCAATGAAAAATAATTGGAAATAGATAGTGGTAATGGTTGTACAACATTGCAAATATAATACCACTGAATTGTACACTTAAAGATGGCTAAAATGACAAATTTTGTTATACACACACACACACACAGACACACACCTGGAGAAGGAAATGGCAACCCACTCCAGTATTCTTGCCTGGGAAATCCCATGGACAGAGGAGCCTGGCAGGCTACAGTCCATAAGGTCATAAAGAGTCGGACACAACTTAGTGACTAAACCACCACCATATACATACCAGTTTATAAAAATGAAAAGGGAGATGGGTAATAATAGTACTGACATTAAAAATTATAGAGAGGAATAAATGGCTTAATTCCTATAAAGCCCTGACAGAAGTTCCTGGCATGTGAGCTGAGCTCCCATCCTTTTTCCCCAGGTCACAGAAGTACAGGGAAATAAACATATTACACAAAAAAGCCTAGTGGATTAAAAATTGTGCCCCTGAAGAAGGAAATGGCAACCCACTCCAGTATTCTTTCTTGGAGAATTCCATGGACAGAGGAGCCTGGCGTGCTATAGTCTGTGAAGTGGCAAGAGTCAGACGACTGAGCAACTAAGCAACAAGTTTATGACTTGCCAGGCAACAAACTGATGCACCCAAAGGAGCAGCATCCCAAACACACTCAACAACAACTACAATATAAATCTTCTTATCTGTGACCTCTAGTTTGACAGAATGGCTCCAGATTAAACTTGTAAAAAATTTAACTTTTCATGTTCTCTGCTGCCTTTGATTAGTCCTCAACTCTCTTCCCACTTACTTGCCTATTTTTGGTGGGGCTTTGAAACATGTCTTTCTTAACACAGTGACTTGGAGAAATTTCCAATGTAGTTCTTTCTTTTTGGAAAGAATAACATCTCACTGGTACATCAGGTCATTTTATCATCATATGGCTCTATTATTTTCTTGAGTCTTTCCAACTGACTGCTACTGCACCCTATGGCAACAGCGCCACAATCCAAACCTCTGGAAACTGACCAAGAATTTGGAATCAAGCATGCTAAAGAGGAAACTGAAACTTATAGAAAATATAATGGGCATTCTGTCTCTGCTCTCAACCATAGCGAAGTAGAGAAGATTCTGTGGTAATTCAGTTCAGTTCAGTCACTCAGTTGTGTCCGACTCTTTGTGACCCCATGAACCACAGCACGCCAGGCCTCCCTGTCCATCACCAACTCCCGGAGCTTACTCAAACTCATGTCCATCGAGTCGGTGATGCCATCTCATCCTCTGTTGTCCCCTTCTCCTCCTGCCCTCAATCTTTCCCAGCATCAGGGTCTTTTCAAATGAGTCAGCTCTTCGCATCGGGTGGCCAAAGTATTGGAGTTTCAGCTTCAACATCAGTCCTTCCAATGAACACCCAGGATTGATCTCCTTTAGGAGGGACTGGTTGAATCTCCTTGCAGTCCAAGGGACTCTCAAGAGTCTTCTCCAACACCACAGTTCAAAAGCGTCAATTCTTCGGCGCTCAGCTTTCTTTACAGTCCAACTCTCACATCCATACATGACCACTGGAAAAACCATAGCCTTGACTAAGTGGACCTCTGTTGGCAAAGTAATGTCTCTGCTTTTAAATATGCTATCTAGGTTGGTCATAACTTTCCTTCCAAGGAGTAAGCATCTTTTAATTTCATGGTTGCAATCACCATCTGCAGTGATTTTGGAGCCCAAAAAAATCTGACACTGTTTCTGCTGTTTCCCCATCTATTTCCCATTTAATCACAAATAAGCTTCCTCCCACCTCAGAGCCTTGTTTGCTCATCTGTGAAATGAAGATAATGTGACAATATCACAAAGCCCTCTAATGAGCTTGTGTGCCCAGATGGACTCTTGGGCAGGCCTCACTGTCAAGGGATGTCCAAGAGACTCTGGCTGGATCTGAAGAGTCAAAACAATAGGATTGGGACTTCCCTGGCAGCCCAGTGGTTAAGGCTTATGAGCTTCCAATCCAGGGGCCGTGAGCTCGATCCCTGGTTGGGAAATTAAGATCCACATGTCCTGTGGCATAGCCAAAAAAAAATTATAGAACCAAGCTGACCTGGGAACATTGTGGATAAAAGCAGGTCCCAGGCTGCCATTCCGTCTGAGGCCTTTGCACGTGATTTTTCACGTGAGCTACGTCAAGGTAAAAATGTCTCTGACCACAGTAGTCAAGAGCAACTGAGGGTTTGGGGGCTGTACAAGCCGGAGGAGTAGCAACAAAAGGAAAGAACAGAGCCCAGGCCTCAGTCTGTAAGTACTTAGGTCAGAGCTTTTGGCACTGCCCAGTTCTGTGCCTGCTTAGTCACATGCAACTCTGGTCTGAGGAATTTTTTTTTAATTTATTTATTTTTAATCAAAGGATAGTTGCTTCACATTATTGTGTTGGTTTGGTCTGGCCAATTTCTGTATCAGTTATCTATTGC